AGTTTTACTGTTTCCTTTTTATTTAGACCAAAAAAGGGGGATATAGAAATAATATAGGAATAATAGGTAAACAGGATAGATTATTGAGTCTACTTAAATATTTGTATCAATATTTGCATATTGATACAAAGTTAAGGCTATATTTTAGTTACAGCATACTATGTGTCCACTCTTTTTAAGGTATTGTACCTATGTAATTCTTTAAAATGCAATGTGAAGTTCTAGTCCTTTTGAAAGCTACTATCATAAACTGTTTAGGATAATTAACAAATGCAAACTAATAGTGAATCAAAATTCAAAATTGTGGTTTTGTTAGGTACCGATTTAGTTAAACAGAGATGTTTTCTAAGTTAATCAGTCAGTACATAGCTGGAAACAAGTAATTCAGATATACTAGAGTTAGATAGTTAGTCTTCAAAAACCTCAGAGATCTATAGAATATGGCATTTAATGATATTTTATTAATTTGATATTTTGGTGAGACAGGTCAGCTCCTGGCAGCACCTCTTTCCAACGTCAAAGAAAATGGCAAGTATCAGAAAATCTTCTTTAGGAGATGGCTTCATATGTGGCAAGCTAGCCACTAGGCCAGGAATGCCCTTGCTTCTACTGCAGACAGAATGCAGGACAAACTCGATACAGGAAAGTGGACTGCTAAGCTTTGCAAGGACAAGGTAGGCAAGTCCTTCAAAATACCTGCCTCACAGCAAAGTCTGTCAGACACCCTGAGCCAGAGGACTGAGGGTGACGCTCCAATGTTGTGGAGATGTCTTGGGTGACTGTCCAGGCAGCCAGCAGTCTCTGGAATTTCTATAGTTTTGGAAACCACTCTGCGCTTCCTGCTTATTCAGATAATATTAATCCTCAGGTCTCTGATAAGATTGAAGACTAAATAGCTATGATCTTACAAGTAAGATTAAGTTCTTTAGGATTTAAGAAGATGTTTTAGGTCTAAAGAGATGGTTTTTGATTGGTATTGCAAGTCTTGATACAAAGTGATTTAGGTACAGAACTTTGGACTCCAAAATAGGATAGACAGTAGAGTACTGTCTTCAAGTTTGCTAAATTCATATGGTCTAGATATTGTGAATGTAATTTTTACCCAGACGTATATAGTTTATTGATGTTAGAGGAAAAGTTTTTTATTTAGACAAAAAGGGGAAATGTTGCAGGATATTTGATCCCATTATGAATCTTAAAATTGTGAACTCTAAAACCCTGTTTCTTGTTTTGTGTGGTTGAGCCGTATCACACACCTTTAATCCAAGAGCGTTTTATTATAAACTGGAGATCATAATCATGGTGTGGTTCACTCAGCCCTAGACACACCTATAATCCAGGAGCTTTCTGTACACTTGATTTAATAAAGTTAACCTATGTCAAAAGGCAGAGAAAGAAACCAGCTGACAGGGATTAAAGAGTAGGAGGGACTTTGAGTTGAGGATTATTTAAAACAGTGTGGAGAAGGAGGGCTTTTAGCTTATGCTCTGGCTTTAGCTTTGGCTTCAGTTCCTCAGCTCCCTGGCGTTTGGGGCTTTGAGCTAGCAAGCCTTTGGCCTTGGGTTTTTTTGGCCTTTTCCTCCTAGGCTGTCAGCTGCGCTAGTGAGGCTGTTGGTTTTTTTCCATCAGGACCTGAGCTGAAAAGGAAAGTCAGCAGGGTGCTTTCTCTGACTCTCAGAGCTAGCACGTTTTCACCCCAGCATCTGGCTCCTGAGTTTTTATTGGTAACATAGAACAACTTGGGATTTTCTTTCTTTCTTTCTTTTTTTCTTTTCTTTTCTTTTCTTTTCTTTTCTTTTCTTTTCATTTCTTTCTCTTTTCGTTTCTTTCTCTTTCTTTTTTCTTTCTCTTTCTTTTTTCTTTCTTTCTCTTTCTCTCTTTCTCTCTTTCTTTCTTTCTCTCTCTTTCTTTCTTTCTTTTGTAAAACAACATAATCCTTTGTAGAACTGTGAACTTTTTTTAAAAAATTAGTTTGTTACTATTTAATTTCTTTCTCCATTTTTTTTTTTTTCCCAGCAGTGGCTTAAGAGGAGGAAAGGGGTGACAGGTTCTTGTTATGTAGCCTTAGCTGACCAGGAACCTGACAGTTATGCCAGATGGACCTTAAACTTGAGATGATCCTTCTGCCTCAGATTTCTAATTGCTGAGATTAAGGTTGCATGACTACACCTCGCTCTTACTCATTGTAAAAATATTTTGTGTGTATGGGTGTTTTGCCTGCATATATGTCTGTGCATCACATGTGTGCAAGGTGCAGTGGAGGGCAGAGACATCAGATCCCCGGGATATTGGTTGCTGCTCTATGGGTGCTGGAAAGCAAATCTGGGTCCTCTGGAAGAGCAGCTGGCTTACTTAACTGCTGAGCCATCCTTCCTTACTTGGTTTCTTAATGGCATGCTCGTGTGAATGGAATTTTTGAAAATCTGGTGAAGTCCCAACTGGTAATACTTTAATTTGTGGTCGGGGCTTCCTGGTCCTGTCATGTGAGGTTGTGAGGTTAGCCTTGAGCACTGCAGCTCTGGGTTTTATGGTTAGGCCCATGATCTATTTTGGGTGGATTTGTGTATATAGAGTGAAAGAGGCAAATAACTTTTATTCTTTCTTGTATTAGATATTTAGGTTTTTAGATTTTTTTAAATTACACTTTATTCACTTTGTATCCCTCCCTCTTATTCTCCCAATCCCACCCTCCCTCCCTTTTCTCCACCCATGCTCCTCCCTCAGTCCACTGATAGGGGAGGTCCTCCTCCCCTTCCTTCTGATCCTAGTCTATCAGGTCTCATCAGGACTGGCTGCATTGTCTTCCTCTATGGCCTGGTGAGGCTGCTCCACCCTCAGGGGGAGGTGATCAAAGAGCCAGCCACTGAGTTCATGTCAGAGACAGTTCCTGTTCCCCTTACTAGGGAACCCACTTGGACACTGAGCTGCCATGGGCTACATCTGTGCAGGCGTTCTAGGTTATCTCCATGCATGGTTCTTGGTTGGAGTATCAGTCTCACAAAAGACCCTTGGGCCCAGATTTTTTTCTCCTCTCCTTGTGGAGCTCCTGTCCCCTCCAGGTCTTTCTATCTCCTTCTTTCATAAGATTCTCCACACTCTGCCCAAAGTTTGGCTATGAGTCTCAGCCTCTGCTTTGATACCCTGCTGGGTAGGGTTTTTCAGAGGCCCTCTGTGGTAGGGACTCTGTCCTGTTTCCTGTTTTCTCCCTCTTCCGATGTCCATCCTGTTTGTCTTTTTCAATGAGCATTTTACCCAGGGTCCTCCTTCTTGATTAGCTTCTTTAGCTGTACAGATTTTAGTATGATCATCCTTTATTATATGTCTAATATCTACTTATAAGTGAGTATATCATGTGTGTCTTTCTGCTTCTAGGATACCTCAGGATGATCTAAGATGTGTGTGTGTGTGTGTGTGTGTGTGTGTGTGTGTGTGTGAGAGAGAGAGAGAGAGAGAGAGAGAGAGAGAGAGAGAGATGTGTATGTGAGGAGATCAGAGGACAACCTTCATTGTGGCTCCTTGAATTCTATCTTATTTGAGATAAGATCTCATCACCTCTGCATTCATCAGGCTGACCCTGATCTTTGGGGTTCTGCTCTCTTTCCCATTTGGCCCTAACCACACTGGTATTACAGGTGCACCTGCTTGACCCCACCTTTAGGTGGGTTCAGGGACCCACCACTCCTCACACCTGGACAGCAGGTGTTTTACTCACTAGGTGGTCTCTAGCCCTCCCGTCAGCATTTCGTAAGAGACCCCTTTACCCACCCACTGGCTGCCCTGGGGTTTGCTCCAGTTCTTGTTTTGTGTGGCTTCTGGCTCTTTAAGCCTGTCACACTAACCCTGATTACTGTAGCTTTATAGCTTTGTTTCTTGGGTTTTCTCTCTTTTGGTTTATTGAACAGGGTTTCTCTACATACCCCTGGCTGTCCTGAATCTCCATTTGTAGACCAGGCTGGCCTTGAATTTCGAAAACCGCCTGCCTCTGCCTCCTGAGTCCTGGGATTGAAGGCGCCATCACAGCCCAGGACTTCATCATTTTTAATCTGGGCTCATTTTACAACTATGGTTTTAGTTGTAACAAGTGGGGTAGGAGGAGATGATCCTTCTGGGTAGAAGCCAGGGACACTGCCCGTCATCCCTAAGCACAGGACAGCCCCACCCCAAAGATTCTCCAGCTTCTTATTCCCAACTTTAGTCAGCAAATTTGTGCACAGCGTCGCCACGGTGCCTGACTTTGGTGTGGGTGCTGGGCATCCAAACTCAGGCCCCCGTGCTTGTACAGCAAGCACTTTACCAACTAAGCCGTCTCCCTGCCTGGTCCTTTTTATTCAATTCCGTGGGTTATTACTGTTTTATATGTTATGGTCACTATGTTTATGTATGGGTAGATTTGATAATCTACTTTAAAAGTCTGTGACAGTTTTTGATCTGTTTTTCCATTCATGACATTACGGTGTCTTGGCTACAGGGTCACACTGGTCTTAGAGATAAGTGTGAAATCCCCTTCTGGGATAGGTGGATTTACTAGTGCCCAACAGTGGCCTCGGGCCCTTAATGCACAGCTGTGTCCTTTAGGCCTCCTATGACGCCGTGGACAGTGGTGAATTCCCTACTCTGCAGGTGAAGAACCTCAAACTGGAGAGGAAACTTATGAAGGGTGGTAGCTTGCTGGAGCTTCGAGCCACACTCCAGCTCTGCAATCTCTAGAACCACTCTGAGCAGCAGCTACCACTGAGGGTCTCTTTGGGGGCGAACAGTGCTGGACGTCAGCTGGCTGCCCTCTCAGTCTCTGGGAAAGAGCTGTTCTGGGCTGGTTCTGCCGATGCTGCCAGCACAGCCTTCGGCCTCTTTGTTTGCCTGGCGTGAGTGCTCCTGACTGAACCAGATGGACCTGTACAGCCTTGGGAGCCAGGTGTGGCCATGATGGGGGAGCATTACCCCTGTGATGGAGCTGGGGTCGTCTAAGAGCTTACCATGGACAAGCCTCCTTCTCCTTGCAGGGTGCTTGGACATTAACTCCTCTGTGAAGGGCGCTCGCTTTGTCAGATTCTGTGACGCATTCAATATCCCACTCATCACTTTTGTTGATGTCCCTGGCTTCCTTCCTGGTGAGTGTCTGACTCGGGTGGGGAGGGAGAGGTGGTTGTGTTCAGGGCATTTAGGGCCTTCTCCCTGTCCCCAGAGCTCCGACTTCTCCGTCTTCTGCCATCGGTGTGAGGATTGACCCTCTCTGGAGGTTGTCACAGCCCCGAGACCCCGTAAGGGCTGTGCTGGTAGCTGATAACTCTTCCTCATTACCTAGGCACCGCACAGGAATATGGTGGCATCATCAGGCATGGCGCCAAGCTGCTGTATGCGTTTGCCGAGGCAACTGTGCCCAAAATCACAGTCATCACCAGGAAGGTGAGGCCGTCCGTCCCCTCAGAGCCCATCTTCCCCATGTTCCCAGCAGCATGGCTGAGGTGGTCCACCACGAGCCGGACCTGGGCTGGAAGGAGGCACACCTCTTGATCACTTCTATGAAATGTCTGGAGGGCTCTTCCCGGTCCTACCCTTATGTTGTCCATGGTGTTCCAGCAGCAGGGAAAGCCAGCGGCAGCAGGCGGTGTGCTCTAGGAAGGGCCTTCCAGACTTTGGCCTTGTGGGCCAGTAGGGCATGGCCCCATTTCCCTTGCCTTCCTGGAGTGTTTGGGGGTATGATTTGCTTGTTCCTGGCACTGACACTCAGCGTTTGGGTTTGTTCTAGGCCTATGGCGGTGCCTATGATGTCATGAGCTCCAAACACCTTCTTGGTGACACCAACTATGCCTGGCCCACAGCTGAGATTGCTGTCATGGGTGCAAAGGTAAAGGCATCGAGCAGTTCTTTCCTGGGCCCAGGACCTCTCTAACAGAGTCCTTGTGTGGCTGGAAATGCAGAAAGAGGCCAGCTCAGGGCTGGAGGGAAGCGCCTCCCCGTGCCCACAGCCAGTCACCCCGTCCTCTCACAGCAGGCACATCGGTGTCTTCATAGCAGAGGGAAGGGCCCAGGGAAAGTCAACTGAATTTACCTCTGGGGAGTAGAGCTTCTCACCACCTCATCTCATCTCTTGGGGTGCCCTCCTTTCCGTCTTCTAGAAACAAAACCAACTTCTTCCGTGGTAGCTCTCCCCTGGCTTTGAAGGTGCTGTCAGGGTCGAGCCAGGTGACCTCCAGGGCTCCGGAGGTGACCAGTGAGTGTGCCCATTTGGAGACCAAGACTTCCACATGTTCTTCCGGGGACGTGTGTTGCATGCCTAGGGCTTGGGGTAGTGAAGGAGGAAAACAGCTCAAGCATCTGGCCTCGGAGAATGATGAGGAGTGCAGAGGAAGAGGGGAGGAAGAGCAGCCACAGCCCAGCATTCTACCCCGTGCATGCTGTCTCTTTGTTCCGATTGGCTGGGAAATTCACCAAGATGAGTTGATGGTTCTGTCTGGGTTGGGACCCTATTCTGAGGAAACCTTTACTCCTCTCTGACAGGGTGCTGTGGAGATCATCTTCAAAGGACACCAAGATGTGGAAGCTGCCCAGGCGGAATACGTGGAAAAGTTCGCCAATCCCTTCCCCGCAGCCGTGAGAGGTGGGCCTGGGGGGCAGGTGTTGTCTGTCTCCCCAGTCATTTGCTTGTTTGTTTGTTTTTTTTTTCCTAGAAAAGTCTGACACAGTTGTCTTTTGACTTCGAAGTCATACCTGTTGCCTGGGGAGGGGCAGGATCTGGGGCCACACTGTGGGCTTGTGCAGGCTGCTGACAGTTTTTGGGTAGGCTGTTTCTCGGTTTTGGTCCAGTGATCCAGTCCTCCTCAGATCTGGTGGCTAAAATCACCTCCCTTCCCCTCACTGTGTTCTCGGCTTCGCTGGGTGGTTCTGTGGGTTTTGCTAGGATTGTTCTCAGGGTGTAGACTGGCTTGACAGTCCAAGACAGGCCTCGCTTTCAGGGTAACATTGACTGCTGCCTATCCTTCCTCAGTTCTCTAGACCAGTCCAGGCTTGTGTTGTTAGTGTCCCAAGAGTAACTAAAAAGGAAGGGTTAGGCCCAGGGGCCTAGGTGTGGAAATTCCTACTGTCGCTTCTGTCACATTGTACCTAGGAAAGCAAATCATAAGGGCAGGGAAGACAAGACTCCCTCCATGGAGGAAGCAAAATTTTACTGTACAAGGATCCATGGACAGAGTGGAGAGGTTGTTTACCTTCTTTCTCATTTTTTTGTTTTATTCTATATATGTGTGTGTTTGTATGCTCTCTCTGTGCATGTGTGCGTGCGTGTGTGTGTGTGTGTGTACACATGTACCTACAAAGGCCAGAAGAGGGCATCGGGTCCCTTCAGTTCTGCACTGCCTGATGCAGGTTTAGTGGTCCCGAATCAGGTCCTCTGGAAGAACAGCAGTGCTCTTGACTACTGAGCTATCTCTCTAGCCCCATTTCTTTTTTCTTTTTTTTTTTTAAATAATTTATTTAATTTTTATGTGCATTAGTGAGAAGGTGTCAGATCCCTTGGAAATAGCATTACAGACAGTTGTGAGCGGCCATGTGGGTGCTGGGAGTTCAACCCGGGTCCTTTGGAAGAGCAGACAGTGCGTTTAACCACTGAGCCATCTCTCCAGCCCCCATTTATGTTTTCTTAATTTCATTTCCTGTCATGTCCACCCTGGCAGGGTGGAGGCCCTGGATCAAGGCAGGGAGGGAGAGGTGACATTTCCCCTACCTTTCCTAATGCTCTTATGCCAGAGGTTGGGAGCCTGGCAGAATGAGAAGGTCCAAAGAGGCTTTGCGGGCCTGGTATCTCTCCACCAGGTCAAGTGCTGCCCGCACTGTTGGCCTGTGGGGCTGAGCATGGGGCTGGGGTGGACGACTGCAGCCCACCCCACAATGCTCGCCTTCTGTTTGGTCCTCCAGGGTTTGTGGATGACATCATCCAGCCATCCTCTACTCGTGCTAGGATCTGCTGTGACCTGGAAGTCTTGGCCAGCAAGAAGGTGCATCGTCCCTGGAGAAAACATGCAAATATCCCACTGTGAACAGATCTAAGGGAAATAGGCCAACAGCTGAAAAACTGGTCATTTGTAGCCTTTTACAATCATGAGAAAACAGGATCTACACACCTTGGAAGTTGATTAAACTTCAGAACGAGTTCTTGTGCCTGGTATAAAATTATTTGATCTATTAAAATCTTCATTGGTACTTTTTGAATAAATATTTAATTTGTTATATTTATAAAAATTATAATATTTAATTTATTATAGTAAAAGCCTCAATCAAAATAAGAAACCAAAAGAAAAAATGGTCAGAATTTTAGTACTGTCTCCTGGCGCTGGCCCTGGTTGACCCTGAAGTGGATAGGATTGATTCATTTGGCCCTCGGAGGTTGACATGGTAGAGCCTGGTCTCCTGTGTGGTGGGGGTGAGAGGTGAGATGTAATGGGAGGTGCTGGGGTCAGCTCTGCTTGGTGCTTCTGAAGGGGCATGAGTTCTCAGTCTCGAGCTAGCTCCCTTACTCTCAGCACCGTGAGCTAACTAAGCCTCTTTTTACAGTTAGCCAGCCTTCAGTGTTGTTTCTGATAGTAATAAAAACAGACTAATACAACATCCCCAAATGTATTGCTTTTTTCCCCCAAGGAACTAATTTTTATCCTTAGGTAAAATAATATGGTTTTAGGGCAGATTTTTTTTTTTATAAGTCTCAGTTTCTTTACTGTTAAGCAGTAATAATAGAATAAGCCCTGATTTACTATCAATTGCTGATGATTAAATGTCTGTGATTCCAGTTGGTCTAGTAGAATAAAGCCTGTGTAAGATATGGTATCCAACATTGAATTCTGTGACTTCCAGACCAGGAAGGTATTCCTACATTTCCAAACAGTTTTGTTCTGAAAATGGTTGATCCTGTGAAGTGTTGTTACCAGCACTTTTGTCATGTGGCCTGCACTGAGCCTCCAGCTGTTAATGCTGGGCATTTATTTTGTATGCATGTGGGTGTGCTATAAGCAACTGTCAGGGCCCTTTTGTGGTCAGAGGACAACCTGCAGGAATTGGTTCTCTCCTTCCACTCTGCGGATCTGGGATCAGACTCAGGTCATCAGGCTTGGTGGCAGTGACTTTACCCAAAACAGTCCCTCCATTGGACCTGCCTGGTTGTTTTCTAATGTTTATCTTGAGATACGAGTAACAACCGCCCTATGGTGTTGCAGCAAGAATACATGGCGTAGGTTCCCCTGTCATTGGTAATCAGTCATGTGGCCTCAGAGGTGACTGTTTGCTCTTTGGGGTTAGTCAGGGCATGTGGGGCAGTCAGCTCTGTCTGCCGACAAGCTTTCTCCCGTTTGTTTTCTATTCGTTGTTGGAGCTTGCTCGGTCACTGAGCTGCTCGACCCATGAGCAGATTTCCTGCACTGTCTTCATTCTGTGGTTACTAGTTGGAAGCACCACTTTTTCCACCTGTTTTTTCCTAGAATCGCTTCATTGTGATTTCATTGTTACACATTTTGATGTTCATGTGGGAAGCTCCTTCAAGCTAGTCCCTCAGACCTTTGATATCTTGTAGTAGTTTTTGGAGTGCTTCCTTATTTTCTGTCATCAGTAGTTTTTGGAGTGCTTCCTTAATTTCCTGCGTCTCCCTGTCCAGCCCCGGAACCTGTGTTTTCTCTAAGGAGCTAAAGTTAGGAATGTCATTTAGAAGTGAAAAGTGGGGCTGGATATTCATATCACCCCTGGGAGGCCATAGCCAGTGTCAGAAAGTCATCACACAAATGTGTGTCCGAGACCTTTTCATTGCTTGCAGTGACAATACATAAGCAAAACAATTTAAAAAGAAATACTTAGGCTCATGGTTTTGGAAGTATCAGTTGCCTATTCCTGAGGTGAAGCAGGACTTCATGGTAACAGGATCATGAAGGGCCACACATATATTTTTGTTACATACCTCCAGTGACAACTGCCAGCCATAGCCCCTACTTCCTACTTCTGTCCCTTCTCCATGATACCATACCACAAATCTATGAAGGGATTAGCTCACTGGTGGGGTTACTCTCCAAAAGCCCATCAACTGGCTACCAAACCCCCAGTATAAGTGACAGTAGGGCCACATTTAATATTCAAACCACTGCAATGTTTATATGTAGGGAAGGGGTACATGTAAATAAATGTTATGTTTTAAAATTATAAATTATAGAACTTTTAATTCCTAATCCTGTGAGTCATTCCTTGCCGTCTCATTTTTGTGTGTGTCTTGTCACTGCAGTGATAAACCAGGCTCCCATTATCTTAAACATGGTCCATTTGCATTTGGCAGTATGGTCCATTCATATGAACGGGAACACAGTACCTAATTATCCTGTAGGCAGCAGGAGGGAGAGAACTGTGACAAAGGTCGTATTTCAAATATGGGTAAAGGCATCTGTGTCTAAGGATGCTCTCCAGATGAGTTCAGGCCAAGAGTAGGAGGCCCTGCTAAGGAGGAAGGAATCCTCCATCCAGCACAGCGCTCAGAGAAGCTGCCCGGATCGAGAGGACTGCAGCCTCAAACCTCAGTGTTCTCCAACAGTCTTTGCACACACTGATCAAGGATTCATAAACACACATACTTGGGCCTTTCCAGAAAAGCTTCACCATTTCCCTGGAGCTTGGCCCATATGGGTAACGGCTTTGCCAATTTCCTGTGAGCCAATCGTGACTAGAGTCCTGGACAGGCCATGCCCATATCAAAATAATAGATTCAAGAACTTTACTCACTCAGAGGTTCCTCTACTCCTTTAAAGATTTGTTGTTTTCTTTTGATGAGTTTTGTTTGTTTTAATACTCTTTAGATCATCTTTCTCTTCTGTTATCATCCCAGTTGGGCTGCCCTGCTGTAGCAGCCTGCTGCTATCTATGGCATTAAAACTTCTCTTGTGTATATGTTTGTGCTCTTGTGGGCACAGGTGTACATGTGGACAGTTTGCATGCAGTGGTCAGGAGACCGGGTCAGTCCTCATCTTCGTTCTCACATCTACCATTTGTATTTTTTCTACTTTCTAAGATTTTTAGGCAAATGTTTCAGCTCCCCCACCCAGCAAAACCTTTTGTTGACTCGAGGGCTCAGTTCTGTGTTCCAGGAATTTGATGGCCTAGAGAATTAACCCTTTTCTCTGCGAAACAGTGACCCCTTTCTCCTTCATTTCCTGTGTGCCAGTTCTTTTCAGATGTGCCAGTGCAGTTAGAGCTGTGCGCTTGGACTCCAACCAATGGGGAAAAGACAGTCACTACCCGACTTACAATAAAAACCAAATCCACTTTCTGTCTCAGTGTGTTCAGTCTTCTAAGGACACCCTCTTGATCAAGAGTAACGTTCCTCTGTCCAGACACGGTAGTAGGAATGGCTGCATCTTTCTTTGCCACCTTGAGCTTATCTCTAACAATTTGCAGGCTCGTTTGGGATCCTAACTCACCCAAGCGAGTGCTTCAAATCCCCACCCTGGTGGGAGACATGTCTCACCAGCTCTTATTTTGGTTATTCTTGAGTACTGGACCTCTGACACTCACCAGGTCAGCAGAAGAACCCAGAAGGATTGGGAATTTTTGGACAAGGCAGAAAGAACCGGCTCAAGGAGATTACACAGTGATCAGGATTTCTCTGAACCCAGAGTAAAGGTAAGAAATGCTGTGGTTAACAGCAAAGTATTCCTTTGGTGGTCATGTCATCCTGGTTGTTGAGACTTGTCTTTGACATGAAACTCAGTGCAAGAAACCTCCATAAAGGGGTGTTGAGCACAGGATAAACCATGATGGGAAAATAACATGGGGTGGGGGGAGAAAAGAAAACATGAAAAAAGAAAACATTTTCCTTACAACCCAGGAAAACCAATTCCTTTGGCTAGCTCCCAGGCTTTCTTACCCCCCCCCCTTTTTTTAAAGAATTTTTAAAAATGTATATTTTATTAATTACAGTTTATTCACTTTATATCCCAGCTGTATCCCCCTCCCTTATCCCTTCCCAAACCATCTTCCCTCCCTCATCTTGTCCCATGCCCCTCCCCCAGTCCACTGATAGGGGAGGTCCTCCTCCCCTTCCCTCAGACCCTAGCCTGTCAGGTCTCATCAGGACTGGCTGCATTGTCTTCCTCTGTGGCCTTCTCCTCACTTAGGGGGAAGGTGATCAAAGAGCCAGCCACTGAGTTCATGTCAGAGACAGTCCCTGTTTCCCTTACTAGGGAAAGAACCAGCTTTGGATACTGAGCTGCCATGGGCTACATCTGTGCAGGGGTTCTAGGTTATTTCATGAATGGTCCCTAGTTGGATTATCAGTCTCAGAAAAGACCCTGTGCCCAGATTTTTTGGTTCTGTTGCTCTCCTTGTGAACTACTGTCCCCTCCAGGTCTTTCTATCTCCCCCTGCTTTAATAAGATTCCCTGCACTCTGCCCAAAGTTTGGCTGTGAGTTTCAGCATCTGCTTTGATTACTCTTTTTAATAATAACTGTCCCTGCTCTACCTAAAGAGAGACGGAATAAAGAAAAGCCTACAAGCTTAAGTTTATGTTCCTATCTACTCTTTCTGGGCATAGGATTAACCTTCCTATCCCTCTCCACCCAGGCCCCTCAGATCCTACAAGACCTTGGATAAGGACTGGTAGAAGGGCTGAAGGCAGTCTCTTGCTGTGGTTAGGTATGACTGGCTGACAGGAGCCAATCTGGCAACTGATTTTTTAGCTAGATAAAAGTGCCACACAGGCCACCGAGGCTTTAAATTAGAATTAACTATTTTAACAAGTTGGCTTCCAAAGTTCTTAAGTTCTAGCCAATAATGACTGTCACCAATGCTACAGATAAAATGGTGCCAAGCAACGTCTTGCTCTTGGGGCTGATGGGAGGTTAAAACAAGAACCAGATGACAGCACTTGCTATCCAAAGCTACGGTTTGTGTGCTAGGATATGTGGACTGAATTCTCTTGGGTTGAAAGCGTGAAATCCTTTCCTCTTTTTCTTTGCTAATTTGGGCTACTTGCCTAGGTCTCCCTATATCTATGCTAGCCCAACTACTGTGTCTTTTTAAAGAAATAGGTAAAGCTGTCCATATTTAGTTTGTTATTTGTGGTTCTCATGGGGACTCGGGTCCAGATGGGGAACGGGCTCATTTTACCATGGAGCTGAGCTGATGAAAAAGCAATCATGTGGTTGGTTACCGTCTTAGCTAGTGACATCATGATGGT